CTATCTTATTACGAAGTATTTGATACGGATATAGGGTAACATTAACTTAGGGTATTCTAGCGAGAAAAATGTGAAAGAATATTAATAACATATATCTATGGATATACGTTGTTTTAAACGCTTTATGTACGTTTCTAAATAATGCCAAAAAACATTAAAACGGAATGTTTATTAGCTAAAGAGAAAAAAGAAAGAAAAAAAATTTCAGTCACTCCGACAATTATTTTCATTTAAATGTCAGGCTTGATAAAAATAAATCTGGCCTTGTAACGTGCGATCAGAGAAATGTGTAGTACAGATCACCGAAATCCTACAAGAATATTGTTAAAAGCTACTTTGGATGCAGAAGCTTAAACGAATAGCTAACTTAGTACTGTGCTATCTGGGTATACTAAGGAAAAAAGAAAAAAGTGGTTGTTAGAATCTTTCAATGGATTAACTGATGTAGGTAGTTTAATTTTTGACTAAAAGAAAATTATGTAATTACCTATCTATATAGTCATCTCTTCTTAGAAACAAATACACAAGATCGAATATAATCATCAATACTTAACACTTTGTAATACTTAAATGAAAATTTTATGAATCATTTTTTTATATTAATAATATTTAACTTACGCACTTGTGTTGAGTGCTTCACTTATCCATGTGCCTGCAAGTCCATAAGGATCCATTTGTCCAAATAATTGATTGTGAAATCGACCATGACTAGTTTTGACGGAATATTTTATAACCGAACGAATTATATCTTCAATATCTTTAATTGAATGATTTTCGTGTTCCGAAATTGTAAGATCAATTAATTTCTAATATAAGAAAAAACCATTAATATTTTATTTCAAATATTGTAATGCTTAACATGCTCTTGCACTTTTTTGTATAATATATTACTAAATATGCACGAGTTTACCTAAGTATACTAATTTTTTTTTTATAAATTTTGGTACACCTTCAACCAATATACTTTCCACATTTTAGGATATCCATTTTGTGGTTTCGAGAATAGGTATAAATAAATAAAACACACGTTTGATTGCAATTTCGAACAAATATTTATCTGGACCTTGCTATTAGGTGTAATGCATAACATTCCACTATCTTTCTCGAGGATCCAATGAAGTATTAGATCCTTTATACATATTATACAAATTTGAATTTTGTTTGCTCTATAACAAAACCAATTATTTGTTATAAATAATTAATAATTGTATGTTGCTCGAGTTTTGACAATTACTTCAAATTAAAATAAAATACTATATATAATTGAATATTGTAAGTAAATTAAACTTTAATATTTTTAATTTAAAAAATCAAATAAATATAAAATTACTTATAATGAAATATATTATATGTGTTAACAACACCTAAAATAACCAATTAAACTATTAAGTATAAACATATGAACAAAGAATTAATATTTTTAATGTAACACTCATTGATAAATGAATTGTTTAATATAATTAATTATACAAAAATATAATACGAGCACGACAATAAATCAAAATATTAACGTAGCAAGATTAATTCTCGTCAAAATCAAAAGTAAGTGTCAAAATAGGTCAAACATGCGCTTCAATCAAAATTTATAGCCTCAAAAAAATGTTTGAATTATTTTTAGCTGCAAAAGTCATTAACTGATTACTTTGTCATACCGCCCGTCACTTTCTCCGCACATCTAATAATTCGACACCTGAAGCTATATTTTACCTTTAACTCTTCGGGCTGCACAAAATTAACTATTTTTTCTCCACGATCGGCCTCGCTAACACAAAACGCTTTCTCATTGCACAATAAATCGTATATCGAGCCAAGAACTTTCCAATCAATTGTTAGTTTGCAACGAATCTCATCAACTATCGTAGAATTGGACATTGCAGTTTTTTTATTAATATCTTTTTTTAATCTTTTCTTAAATATTGAATTTCTTCACTTCTCGTTTTTAATAAATATTTTAAACAAATTTTTTAATTAATTTCTGTAAATGAATTGAATCTCTTTTTAAGTTTTAAATCTTTTATTCTGTAATTTTTAAAAAAAATAACTCCGAGGTGTTTTTGCTTTCTGTGTTCGAATGTAACTGACAGAATGAAAACTCATAGTTAGCAGTTAACTTTTAATAGATTTTATTCAATTGTTTAAATATTCAAGAAGGCAAAATATACATAAGAAATGCTTGATAATTTAATTTACAAAGTTATTCATTTACTCGTAAGACTTTTCTTTACCGCGCTCTTTCTCCAATTCAATTTTCTCTTTTTTTGAAAAAAAAAAAAAATGTCAAGTTCATTACACAATCGATACACTAGGCACTTCTTACAGTTTTGATACGCGGTATACTAGCAGAGCTGATATGAGGAACTTATGTCTTTTGTCTTACAATCACGAGAGATTAAAATTTTATATTTCTTCGGTCCTTGCTCTTTGCAAGCGAACTCTGAATTTTGCAAAATAATTGTTTAATTCCTCATTAATTTGTCTGGAAGCGTTCTATTAATGTTCGATTACTAAAGATTTCTTCATGACTTGATCATGTTTTATTTAAATGTAATATTAGCAAAAATGTCTAGCATATTTTTAATCTCAATATTGCGCTATAATATCATGAATATCAGATTACGGCATGTTTATACATAATCTAATCATCAAAACAGTATATATGATAATGTTGCACTTTTTGCTAATAGTTTACATTATAGTTTTTTTTTTCTAAATGAAAATGTACTCAAGTTCCGTACTACAAACTCTCTATTTACTTATCTCATTTAGATTATTACACTTAATGACTTACACTTAATAAAACTATTAATGATTATAGTTATGCTTCTTCAATTAATTATTTTTACTTTATTAAATTTTTTAATATTATTAGTATTATTTTTATTTTACAATTTATATATCAGATTATTAAAAAATAAAAAATTGCAAAATTAAAATTCAATTATCACAAATATTAAATTTCACCTTCGAATGTAACTGAAATGCACTGTGGACTCATTTGTTGCTTGTAGTTAAAAAAAAGAATTATTTAATTATTTTTTCCTCTTTCATATTATGCTATTGAGATTATAGAGGTTACTCTCTATATATAACGTTATTAAATAATACTCTCATCTGAGGATCTCTAAATATATTACAGACATTTCACCTCCGTTTTAGTCCTACTAATTCATTGATAAGTACTAACTACAAGCAATTAAAACATTTAGAAATACTGTCAAGTCTCTAAAGAAACTTAAAAGTTTCTTTCGTAAAACAAGAAATCCTAAAATCCGACAAGAATTACATAGAAAGTATAAATACGCAATTCAAACAGGCCTGTTAGAAGTTTGAAGAGGTTCTGAATTTTGAGCCTACTGAATTGAGTTTCAATATTTTAAAAAAAATGAATAAATGATATGTTATAAGTAATTGTATTAGTAAAATAACAAAAAAAAAAATTGGGAAATAGTCTTAGTTAATTTAGTGATACTACTGATTTTTCAACTCCAATCAAGTGCTTCTATCTTATTGATAACTTTCCTAATGGGCCAAACAAAACAACATTAATAACATATACATACATAATTTATAGTTTATAGCGATCAGGAAAGCAAACGTTAATTTTTTAATAAATATCGAGAGATATTGACATCCTTTGAATATTATGTCTAGGACGTTTTCCTCTTCTATTCCTTTTATCTCATCCCATCACCGCAGACTAAATAATTCGAGTCTACAACATTTTAAGAGACGATAGGATTTCAAATGATGCGACTTAATGAAATCATTCCAATCAAACAACAGTTAAAGTATTTATTATTTGTTAATATGTATATATACTTTTTAATATTTAAGAGGCACTTTGATTTTGGTGGTAGATGAAAGATAACATAATGCAGCTAGCAATATCTACTTCTTTAGATTCATTATCTTCCTATATAAAAGTACTGAAGGAATCACCAACGTTAAAGTTGAAACTAAAAACATCATTAAATGTTTCTTAAGCGTTAATTTTTTTCTATCTCGTGGGAATACAATAGAATACGGTCAGTGTTCTACATTAAATATAAAAAACATTTTAGACAATGTTCTAATTTATATTAAATATTAAATTTATATTAAAGTTCCTTACATATTAGTAAAATCACAAATGAAATCTCTATATTTGTACTTTGACGGTATGAAAACATATAGCACTACGGTATTAAGTAATAATCCACTCTTTATCTATGTAAATCCTTATTTTGTAATGTAAAAGCAAATAAAAAGTACACAACTACAAGTATAGTATAATATTTTTCCATGTAACAGTAACTAAAACAATTTTTGTGAAAGTTAATTGAAACTCCTGATAAAATAGAATTTCTTTGTTTTTAGGTTTTAATAATAGATATACAGGGTTGGGTGATTAAAGTGTTGCCTATTCTCTCAAACGACTATAACTTTTTGTGTGAATTTATTTTTTATTGATTCAAATTACAAAAATTTGTGGAAATAGTCAAAATTTTAGAATTCATTCACTCATTCAAATATGGCCTTCAAACGGTTAAAAATGAGTTGCATGTTTCACAAATGTATCTTCCGATATTTTGCCCCAGTAGACAATGACTTTCGTCATCGCATCCATATTAGCATATTTTTTATACCCGTGTGTAGTTGGTAACACTTCAGTCGACTAACTCCGTACATAAATTGTTTTAGCAGTGTAGTGTTGACCGGATGCAATTTTTTTTCATACAAGAACAGTTCTTGAAGAACTTAAACCAATTAACCCCACCAAATGGAATTGAACAAAAATGTATGGTTATATTAATTATATATAATAGAATATAATATAATGTATATTCCATTGTCTAAAACACTTCGAAAATAATTATTACGATTAACGAGTACGTAGTTTTATCAGGCCCAATCCGATTACTTAATTTGATGTTCGAACAATAAATGTTATACGTATGAATATACAACATGACAAAAATGTAATGGCACATAAAACAGATCAGCAATTCGAGCAACTTGAACATCTTAGAATACTTTAGAGTCGTAACTTCACAGTCGTAACTTAAGTCTCAATATTATGTTAACTCAAGTTGATAACTTAAGCATAACTTAAGATAGTATTAAGATAGTAATTATGACTGTGAAATATATCCTTATAGTATTCGACTCAAATGTTCAAGTTCAAATATAGTTATATTGCTTGAGGAGTAGTCCACATTACTGTACTGTTACTATAATACAGAATTGTTCCAATATAAGTAGTTCTAATTCAACAATTGTAAGAGCTACTTTTAACATACACACTTAGGAAACACTTAAGTTAAATATAGATTTTTTCAGTCCTTAACTGTTGACAATTTTTATGAGTTGTCACAAATGCCATTTGCTTCGGCGTTTCAAACCAAAAACTTTTATATGGTTAGTAAGTAAAAACTGAGATAAATCAAAAATCAAAGATTTTCAAAAACATTGGTTATTAATATTATAAGCAAATTTGAAACAAGGAAACATTATTTCTGAAATATAATAGTATTTTCCTGATTATGTCATATTTCCTAAAATTGAAAAACTTACTTGGTTATCTTATGATTTAGCTCATCTCGCATGTAACTCAAAACTTTCCAAATTTGATCAATTTTATAATCACTTTCGCAATCAGAATCCCAAACCGACAACATTGAAATAGTTTTTAAAATTATCAAAGTTTTGAAAACATTTCAATTTAACTTCGAATCGAAACTTTCTTGAATTTTTCTTATGTCAGCTGATTTTGAAGTAACCCTTAAGCGCTCGTTGTAAGGTTCTAAATCGGTCCCAAGGTATGCATTATAAAACTAGCCCTGAGACTAGTTGGTATATTAAAAAACATCAAAAAGTTGGCACTTTTTATGTACTGAATAACTGTTCACGTATAAAAGTTAATGTAAGTGCATTGAACTTTAAACTAAAGTTTATAGTGAACTCAAAGCAAGCAAGTTTTAAATGATTCTTATGAGGTTAAGAGAAAATTAAAGCGGTTTTTGATATGCTTTTTGTCTGTACACTAATAATTTACTCAGAAGCAACTCATATATACTATACATACGCAAAATAATATTTTAAATAAATTGTTTAATTTTTCTTGGCTGTTAAACGAGGTATTTTTTGGCTACTAAGCGAATCATGGTCATAACTATGGTTAGGCCGTTAAGCGAGTTCGCCGTTCAACGAGACCGCCGTAAATCGAGGTATTGGTGTACATATAAGGTCTGTTCCACGAAGTACTCGTAGTAACTGTGAGAAACACTGTGTATACACAACACAAATTTTCGAGTAAATGAGGGCATCTAAGAGAATGTATCATCCCTGTCTAAATGTGAAAATGTTGCACAAACTATACTCGTACATTTTATTTCAAGTAAAATTTGTGTTATATGTGAATCAGCTGTTTTGATTTGAATTTAAATTTATGTATCGTTTATTTGCGCGCCACTGGCGTTCTCACCAGACTTTACACAAATCTGTTCAATGAAAATCTGTGTAAAGAGCGTTTGTACTTTATTTGCCTTTTACTTGAGTTTTACTACGAGTAGCTCGTGGAACAGGCATACCATTTGACAGATTGCAACAGTAATGCTAATATCTCGCTTAGCGCCTATAGTAAGCAACTTGTTGTTTTTTGCCACACTTAAAAGCTGCTAATAGCACCTATTATTCATGTATGTATAATCTTGCAATCATCACATTCTGATTCGTTTTGTGGTTTTTGGTGAGTAAAACCATTATCATATAGGTAATTACTTTATGATGCCCTTAGCTTCACCTTGTAAATTTGTACTTCGCTGAAATTAATAAATTAATTTGTTTATATCTTATAATTTGAGATTAAGGACGTGTGCGAGTTAGACTAAGTTGATGCTAAACCAAATGGGAGATTATTTGGAATTTTTTGCACTGCACATATTTAGCCATTTATCAACACGTATACAATATCGGCACAACTTAGAATTTTTCTCATTTAGAACGCAACTTAGCCTAACTCGCACACGTCCTAAATAAGTTAACAATCGCATTAGCATAGATAAAGTAAAATTTGTTGTGTCGTGTAAAATAAAAAAATTTGAAAATAAAATTTAAATTTAAAATTTTGAACATACGGCAACATTAAAAGTGGAATGTGTATGTCAAAGTAAATTTAACTTTCGCGCTGTCATCTCGAATTTATAAAACATATGAGATAAGACGTAACTTCAAAAAGTGTGTGTAGAATATTTCGTGTCGTTCAATTAAAAGTTTTATATTATAAAAATGTTAACACGTCTCTTGCGCCATCGTGGCGTAGTCCGTAAGTTTTCAACTCTTACTCCGTATGAGAGTTATGCTGCCCGCCAGGTTTTAATAAATAAAACAAAAGTGATACCAAATCGTTTCGCCGGCGCAGCAGCACAAATTTACGCTAGAAACTATGCCTCTAAAAAAGACGATGATGATGAAATAACCGTGCACGAGGTCGAAGAATATCAACCTAAAGACCCACAGTTACCCGCAACAGTAGCAGTACCAGATGTTTGGCCACATTTGCCAATTTTATTAACTAGACGTAATCCTGTGTTTCCAAGATTTATGAAAATTATGGAAGTATGTTATGAAACATAATGTAAATGTATATAAATAAATATTTCCTAATTTTTAAGGTCACGCATCCAATGCTAGTTGATTTAATACGCCGTAAGGTCAAACTAAGCCAACCCTACGTTGGTGTATTTTTAAAAAAGGATAGTGAAAACGAAAGTGAAACAATTAATAAACTGGACGATGTCTACAGCGTTGGTACCTTTGCACAAATTCAAGAAATTCAGGACTTAGGTGATAAAATACGTATGGTTGTAGTCGCGCATAGACGTATAAAAATTACTGGCCAACTAATTGAAGATTTTCCCACTCCTAAACCAAGTAAGTTATGCAGTATACTTATAAAAATAGAATGAACAGAGCACATTAGAGCACATGATAAACTTATTTTAAAAAAGTACAAAACATTAATTTCAAAACAAATATATTGTGTTTCTATTGCTCTTTTCAATAAAAACAAATTGTATTTGAATCGTCATAATCTTTGTCAGAGAAAATGACGACATTGAAATTTCCAATCTTTAATATAAACTTGAACATCCCAGCTGAAGACAAAACGTCTGAAATTGAAAAACGAAAGGCAGGACGTAAAAGTAGACTCAGTCGAGCACGAAATGAAAAAGGTGATGCCGCTAAAGCTAGTGATTCAAAAACAGATCCAACTACTACAACGTCCAAAACTGAAACTACTAAACCTCCGACTGCTGCTACTACACCGCCAGCACCAACTAAGCCACCAGCACCAACAACGCCTCCTGCACAACCCTCAGCACCAGAACAGAAGACAACATCGACTTCGGCTGCTGATAAGAAAAAAGATGAAAGTTCTGCAGCTGGTGCACAGAAACCAGTGGCACAACCTGTGCCACCTGTACTAATGGTTGAAGTTGTTAATGTTACTCATGACGCGTACAAACCCACAGAAGAAGTAAAGGCTTTAACTCAAGAAATTATTAAAACGATTCGGGATATTATAACTATGAATCCACTTTATAGGTAAGTATTTCTTAATATATAAATAGTATATTATATATATATATATATATATAATTATCATTTAGAGAAAGTTTGCAACAAATGCTACATCAAAATCAACGAGTTGTTGATAACCCAGTGTATTTATGTGATTTAGGAGCATCATTATCTGCTGGTGAACCAGAGGAGCTACAGTTAATAATGGAAGAAATGGATGTAAGTAACTGATTTTTTTAATTATTTTAAATATTCTGTCAGAGATTGTATAAGGTATAAATCTTATTATTAATGGGTCCAACCTCGCAATTTAATTAGTTGGATTTTAATTGAGATTTTGATATAGGTGCATGCTATACAGTTGCATATAGATTCTATACAGTTTCTGTCGAAGGTTTTAAGTAAATATTACCAATTTTAAACATATATTTTAAATATCTGTTATCTTGTTGCTGTCGAGTAATTGACAACAGTAAGAGTTTACTTTTTGACGGATTTGCCAAAATTCAAATATAATTTTTTAATCTCTGAGTTTTCATAAGGTAACACAATGGGCCAACAGATTTAAGTGGGTTATAAGGAACGCTGGTATAATTTAACCTATTATTATTATTAAATAATAGACTATGAATGCACCCCGACCTAAAAGATTTATTGTGCACCTAGGGGCCCAACTAAAACAATTCTAGACTATTTATAACTCTCGTAATTGCTGTGGGCTTAATTTTACATATTAGATTTGGAACTAAGAACCCGTTTCCAAGGTAGTCAAGTCAACGTCTTGCCGCTGCATTGCAGTTGCATAGAATATATTCTTGACAGCCGCATGCCTGTTTGGGCTCTCAAGTGTTCAAGTAAACTTAGCCTAACCCAAACTTCAATTGTATAACACCTCTAAAATATCATATCAATATTTGAAAATAATTAATACATATTAAAACATAAATATTTCATTTTAGATTCCTAAAAGATTGATGCTAGCCTTGGGTCTTCTGAAAAAGGAATTAGAATTATCTAAATTGCAAATTAAAATTGGCCGTGAAGTAGAAGAAAAGGTAAAACAACAGCATCGTAAATATATTTTACAAGAACAACTTAAAGTTATAAAAAAAGAGCTTGGAATTGAAAAAGATGATAAAGATGCAATCGGTGAAAAATATCGTGAGAAATTGAAAGACAAAAAAATTCCAGAAAATGTTATGAGTGTAATCGAAGAAGAATTAACTAAGCTAAATTTCCTAGAAAGTCACAGTTCTGAGTTTAAGTAAATTATTTTACTTCATATAAAATAATATTCTTTAAACATTCACATTAAATATTTGATTAGTGTAACGCGTAATTATTTGGATTGGTTAACATCGCTGCCTTGGGGTGTCACAAGTGTAGAGAATTTAAGCCTGGATGAAGCTTCAAAGATACTTGATGCCGATCATTATGGTATGGAAGACATTAAAAAACGCATATTGGAGTTTATTGCTGTAAGTCATTTGAAAGGTGGTACACAAGGTAAAATATTATGCTTCCATGGGCCTCCCGGTGTTGGTAAA